GAAGAGAGAGAACACTAACTTTGCTTGAGGCGACTTCTGGCATGGAGGACAGGAAGGCGGGTGGGGAGGCGGTTATTGTTTGGAGGGAGAGTCCCCCTCCCTACAGGAAGCCACGACCACGTGTCACAGCAGGAAAAATGGCTGCGGATCCTGTTAGTCACCCGATGCGGAGTTTGTGAATGGAAGCAAAATTTTGTGAACGGTGCTGTTCGTGAACCGAATTGTTCGTGAACAGAAGCGTTCGTGAACCGAGGCACCACTGTACATATAAAATATTATGAAAGTGTCATGCCTTATTGTAGCTATCTGCCTCCTTTCCAAGACTTTTCCAAGACAGTCTCTTTTTTGAGACGTTTTATAACTGAAACTCAAGACACAGAAAACATTTAAAGGTGAACATATATATATTCCCAAATGGAATCCTAAATGTACTTTTTAATGGATTTTTTCATTTAGATCTGTATAACAAACATCTTTCCCAATCTGTTCTGCCACAAAAATTGCCCAGTTATCCTAACTGGATAGGTTAATCTAATCAATATTAAACACGGCATATTTTATACATACAAGCATACACACATACACACACACATAAGGCTTCAACAGACGACATCAATAGATGTAATTATGAAAATAATTATAGCATTGTTAAAAACTATAGGCACTTACAGCAAAATAAATATATATAAAACCAGCATGCAAGTTCAATAGATAGTTAAGTGAATAGCATTTAACAAACCTGACATAAAGTATCAAATTTCTTTCCATCTGGGATTGAAAGTTTTCCTTTCTTGTCTTTATCAATGCGATAATGTGCTACTTTGCCTTCATTGAGTAAACAAAGAGCATAGGATCCATTGTTATCTCTTTCCCTAATCCTGAAAAGTAAAGAAATAAATAAATTATATTCTGTAAAGAGTCATATGGAGGGGTGTGACATATAGGACAACCTAACTTAAAATGCATGTCAAAACATGTTGGGACACATTGCTCAAACTGCAGTCATTGAAATGCTCCTGCTCGCAGTAGATAAAAAACAGGTGATTATTATGCGGTTCAAACTGAGATTCTTTAAAAAAATGTATTTATTTATTTTAAAAGGAAAAGGAGAAAAAAGACACAGAAATTGCAAAATACAGACATTACATGGAAAAGTTTGCAGAGCAATGTAAGATAAAATTAAAACAAAAATAGAACCTATTCCATTGGAAGAAGCATCTCACATTTATCCTTATATAGCCACTCAGATTAAAATAATTATAAATATAGTTTCATGATCGTTTAATACTTCAGCTGTTTCAAAAATGTTATATATAATTATTATTAAAATAACATTTTAAATTTGCTAAAAGATCTAACTACTGAAAATAAACCAGCATAGTTAAAGAGGTTTGAACCCTTATTTAAGAGAACCCCAATCTCAGATATGGCAGCAAGCTATTTACAGAATGAAATGCAATTTCTAGCAAAAAGTATAAAGTATCCTGGCAGCAATTATCATATATAAAGACAGCTCAATCTATTTTGTAGGTATATATACAGTTTAGCAATACTTAACAGAAGAATAACTGGTAGCAAAGGAAAGTCAGTATTTATAACTTGCAGTTGATCATTTACCAGAAAAATTGAGCTTTATGACATTGCCCCCAGATCTGATAAAACATTCCAACTTGATCTTTACATTTTCAAAAATTTTCTGAATATACATTGTCCATTTTAGTAATCATCACTGGAATAACGCACTAGGAGAAGAATATATTATATCATTTTTCTCTTAGTGTATTATTGACAGTGAATTTGATGTTTGTCCTCCATGACTGGATTGTACTGGTCATTTGGAGATACTGAAACCATGAAAGCATTTCATTTCATTTAAAGGGTGGAAAAGGGGGGGGAAAAAATGATTTCTGTAGGCAATCTCTCCTGTGCTTGATCCTTTGCTTCTTCCCCCTCTCATAGAGTGAAGAGATTGGAGAGGAAGGAATTACAAGAGAGTAAGCAGGCACATAATAGGAAACACATTGGGCTGTTTGAATAGCATGCTCACAGCTGCTGGTGCCACTGCATTCCTTTCAATGTGTATTCCCCATTTGTACCTGCTTACTCTCTTGTAATCCCTTCTTCTCCAATGAATGTAAATATAAACATTAATTCCCTTGTTAATTATCCAAGGTGAGCATTCCAAAAGGCAGGGGAGTGGTTAGGAGTCAAACAAAAGAGGAATATGTGAAATTGATTAGTCTTGTCAGTTTGAAGTTGCAGTCATGTGATTTCCCATTTAGCGACCCCTTTGTTAGCGACGGAGTTGCCAGTCCCAATTGTGGTCGCTAAATGAGGACTACACTGTACCTCTAACATATTGATTTTTTTATACTTCTAGAACTTCTTTTCATATCATATATTTATATAGTTCTTCTGTATATTTTGTTCCTTCCACAAATGCAGTCCAACCATATGGTACTATAATCCACTCTGTAATCTAAGTTAAACATTTGGCCAAAATGAGAATCTTATTTGTCCACCAAAGTTAGAAACTACTGAGGATTTTGGCTTTGAATCCAACATCTACCTATTTAGATGGCATCATAAACAATCTATGGAAACTTCCATAGTCTGTTAATCTATTCCTTGCCTAAAAGAGCCAAGTGATAGCAACTGAGCAGCATGCATTAGGATACTTGCTCATTCACTGTAAACCAAAATTCACAGAAATTAGTGCTTATTGTAACATGCAAATGAAACCATTGTTACAGAGAAAAACATGGGTTTAATTCTTCACTGCATCATTAGCTATATGAAGTTCCTGCTTCTCATCATATACTTTTCTGAATTACTTAAATTATCCATAATTTATTTAATGGCTCTGGAAATCAGCAAATCAGTAAATACTTCTCAAGAAATCACAGAATGGACAACATGTGAGGTAACAAAAGCATTAAGAATCAATTCCTGTAGTCATCTAATCCATACAGTAAAAGGTACTCATTGCTGGATTCTATTTCAGCAAACCAGTATTTTAAATGTACAGTCAATGTGTTATATGAAAATTTTCCTATCAAGGAGAAACTCAGCTTTATAATTTTGAGAAAGATACTAATACATACAAAGTCTCTTATCCTGATTGCAACACAAAGATGTTTTACAGCACCTATCCCAGTCTGATGCCTTCTAAATGCATTGGGCTATAATTGCAGTTAATACAACCTAACGTCTCCGATAAGGAGGACTACTATACAAATTGGTTTCATTTTTTACTTACCCCCCTCCCCCAAATCATGTTCTTTGACGGTTATGTTTTAAAAAGTTGCAAAACAAGGAAAAATGAAGGCTAGTAAAAGAACTGTACTGACTTACGGCCATTCTGTGACACAATCTGTAAAAAAAGACATAACTCATGTGATCTTAATGCATTATTTCCAAGCTTCCATGAATAGTATATTCCAGTTCCTGAATTACTATCACATTGTGCATTTCTTGATTGACCTATAAATAGGTTAACTGCTAATAAAAAAGACAGGAAGGCCAGAATAATGTTTGCTTTTTCTGCCGATTTCAGCAACTTTTCTGCCTTTACAGAATTTAGGCTTTCACACAATCCAGTTCTGGTTTTCAGGAAACTAGAAAAGGGTTTTATAATCAAATCACATGTTATGCAGCTTACACGGTTTATTTTATTGGCCTATTACTTACTTAGTAAATTATTAGAGATCTGTTATTAAGATCAGAGTAGGTATAGTTGTCAATCTCTTGAGGCTACTGCAATCTGCTTTCTAAATGGTAGATGAAACCTATGAACTGTAACTTCCTACTTACTTGATTATCCCAAACAATTAAGAATTGCTTCAGGTTGACTAGGTAGTTTATTATTTTTCTTTTCAAGCCAGAATACTGTTCATAACTTACAAGGGGAATAGTGCTATAGCATTTTCGGTCAAGTCTTCGTGCTATAGCTTTTTCCTGGAGACTGTTGTTGTTTTCCCCAACCTGGGTAGCTTCTATATCTGTGGGCTTCAACTCCAAGAGTTTTCAGCAACAGTCAGCAACAGTCCTAGCACTGGAAGTCTAGGTGTAGAAGGACCTATTTTAGCTTATCCTTAAAGTTACTTTGGTAGACAGCACAGCAAACTGCAGACACTGCTGGAATTGTCCAGTTGTGAGTTCAAAGTGAGTTCTAATCTAAGAAATAATACTGCAGAGTGAAAGAAGATTGAAGAAGAGTATGTGATAAAGTATGACACAATACCTACTTTGAAAAACTGTATAAATATGGTCAGAAAGCACAGCAAACTAATTATAGTTTTAGAGAGAAGAATATAGAAATATATTTCAAATCTATTATCTGTTTTCATTCAATGTCAAATGAATGACAGTGGGAGAAATAAACAAAATATTTGCTAGTACTGTTGTTAGGGCTTTGATCCCACAGTAGTTTCTTCCATTGGGCAGAATGAAGAATGCATCATTATCATCCAAAAATTATGTCAGGTCATAGTCCACTTATTTCAGGATCTGTTTTGAAAAAGAGGGTATCCTCTGGATACCCAAAAGGAAAGCATGAAGGCAACATAGTTCTCTAGTTGTTCATCCAGGTTCTGACATTCAATGGCCAAATGCTTTCAAATATGAACTATTTGAAAAATGGACCTTCTATTTAGCTATAGAGATTATAACCACCACCTACCATTAATTTGTCCACTTTTGTTTTTACATGAGGGTGATAGTATATGAAAAAGTTTTTTCAACTCTACAGTCAGGGGACATGAAGTTCTTTATTCTTAGTAAAAAATTGATAATACCACTGTAAACAAATCATGAATGCTGTTTTAAGTAAATGGAAATGCACTGAGTGACAGAAAAAGAAACTTTGGAATGGTTAAAAACAATATACCACATTGTTTTATTTACTTTTTCTATTATTCTTCTGGTTGTTAGAATTAATTTTTGGAAACTGCAGGGAAAAGTGAGTACTTACAAAAATTTCCCATTGGTCTTTGTACCAAGAAGCACACGGTGCTCTGATTCCTCCCGAGATATCATCCCATGGAACCAGGGCATTTTCAAATGTGCTGTTGTAGCAATCAGTTTCTCCAGTTGTGGCTTCTGACTAATAATTGCTTGCTCAAGGGCATGTCCCTGTACAATTGACAGAAAGGGCAAAGGTGTAAGAATATAATACAGTTTATTATAGAAGCTGAAGTGTGAATGGTTTGGACATAAAAAGAGCACTTTACTAAGATTTTAGAGCATAAAAAATTTAGAGCGTAGAACTTTTAGTACAACTCTTAGTGATCATCCAACTGTCTGGCTTGCCCTGACAGGAATTTACCCCACTAACCCTTTTCTGAGGACTTGAAGATATGGTGTTGTTCTCAACCAGAACTGCCTCATTGCAAGGGCAAACTCTGTCCATCTTTTCTTGTCCAATAACAAAAGTGGTGTTTTCTAACTTCTAGCTGCACAAGCAGTACTGTGCAATGTCTACAATGCAAACTGTGGCAGAGAAGGTGTAAAGTCACACTAAATAACACAAATAAATTTAAAATAACTGAGCAGTGAATGGTGAAATAATTAAAAAAGAATTGTGAAATACATATTCAAAGAAGAAAACTAGCCAGAGAAGTGTTTAGGCCATTAGATGACAAAACAGTGAAAAAAATGTTTGTGGAGAATATGGAGTTTGCAGAGAAACTGAATTAATACTTTGCTGCAGAAGATATAGGACCAATACCTGAACCTGTATTGACTTTCCCAGGGAAGAAATTGGGACATCTAAAGCATGCTGGCCTGTCATAAGATGTTCTAGCACATCTTGAAGACTACATGAGACCAGATCATTGGGGTTTGATGGCATCTGCCCAAGCATCCTGATAAAATCGCTGCCTTCTAGCAAAAACATGGCACTTATATTTCAAATTGTAGATAGTGTGAGTAGACTGGAAGTTGACCCATGTGACACATTTTTTTAAAAAATGAACCCAAGGGATATTTAGGATATTATACACAACTCAATGTCATAGCTAAGTATATGGTACATCTGCCTCTGAAATACTGTGTTTTAGATTTAAAAAAGGATATACCAGAGCTATTAAAAATGAGTAAGATGACAAAATATTTACAGGGCCCAGACAGCTTTCTTGTGAGAAAAGGATAAAATATTTGAGGCTCCTCAATTTATAAAAAAGATAAAGGATAGGAAACATGACTGAGGTATATCTTATGCATAAGATAAAGTGGATTGGCAGATTTATTTTTTCCTCTCTCTCTCAAACACCTAGGAGTAGGATCATCCAGTAAAGCTGGTTGCAAGGAAAGTTATAACAGAAAAAAGAAAGTACTTCATATAGCACATGATAAATACTGGAATTCATTAGTATAAGACACAGTGATCACCACTAAGTTTGGGTGGCTTTACCAGGAGCTGGAAAAAATCATGAAAATGAGTCTATCAAGGATTATGAATCTTAGCTTGCCCCAAATACCAGTTGCACAGAAACATCAGTAAGAGAAGGGTATGGCTCCATCTTGTGAGCAGTTCAGAGCCATCTGGTTGGATACTGTGAGAAGCAAAATGCTGGATTAAGATAGGCCTTAGTCAGACCGAATGGGAATGTTTTTATGAAAACAGATATGAAATATGGAAAATAATACAATATATTTGAAATTTTATATGTACCGTATTTTTCTGACTATAAGACGATACTTTTTTCTAAAATCCTTACGCTAAAAATTGAAGGGCGTCTTATTCA